ATATTTACAACAATTTTATAAACTGATTTTTGTTTATTTTTAGAAAAACATAAACTACAAACGCGTTTCGTTTAGACAAAATGTTTAAAAAATTTTAAAAATATAAAAAAGAGTAAGAAATGACAAGTGGTGGCTGGTGGTGGGTGGAGACGAGTGGTGGAAAATGATGGCGGGTGGTGGTGGCCGCGGAAGACGGTGGTGGAAAATGATAGTGAGTGGGTGTGGTGGGTGGTGGTGGCTGGTGGTAGCAGGTGGGTGGTGAGTGGTGGTGGTAGGTGGTGGTGGAGAGTGGGTGGTGGTGCCGGAAGACGGTGGTGGAAAATGGTAGCGGGTGGTGGCTAATGTTGGGTGATAAAAAAAAAAACTGAAAACTCAAAATGGAAACACATTTTTTGTGTTTTCATTTTTTGGCCAAATTTATAAACTGAGACCACTGATTTATAAATTAAAAATTTTACTAAACAAGTTTTTATTTGATTTTTTAAAATTTTTGTAAATATAGACAGAAAACTGAAAACGTAAGCGTTACCAAACGGCACCTAAATAAATATATAGGTTTTTTTTTTTTAAGATCCCTCGTATTAAGATTTTATAGCATAATGGATATCTAATATTTTCATAATGTCTAAGGTCCCTCAAGTTGATCCAGAGAAAATTAGTCCAAAGAAAGTTTACTTTACCGGTCTTCCCACAAAATTATCTCTCCAAAGAAATTTTAAGCCTGCGTTTGGTTTTGTTTTGTAAATATGATTTGAGAGTATGAGTTGTATTTTGAGTTTGTGGGTTGTAGAATTATAATTTGAGTGTAGAAAATTTGTTTGGTTATGGTTTTTAAATAGAATGTTGAATTGTGTTTTGAAGATGTATTTTGAATTAAGTTTTGAAAGTTTGATGTGACATGTGAAAGGTGAAAATTTGTTTGGTGATGTGTTTTGAAAATAGTTTTCAAAACTTAATTCAACCAATAATTTATCATCAAACACACAACTCATATATCGATATCCATATTTTTTATCAACAATAATAACCAAACTATTTTTAAAATACTGAAATTAAAAATTATTTTTTTTGTCAATTATTTTTTTTTTGTAATTTTTTGAATAATTGTTTTTTCGAAATAATTTTTTCATTTTAAAATAAACCTATGCCAATTATTTTCTGCCAATTAATTTTTCTATTAATTCATTTGTAAAATACGCTTTAAATTTTTTTCTAGCATTTTGTTAAAGTCAACAACTTTTGAAAATACATATTAATAAAGAAGGAATAAATACACTAAATTTAATATTTTAAAATACAAATCATAACGTAAATCTTACAAAACATTATCAATTTTTTTTCCATTTATTACATGTTATAATTTTGTCCAGATGTGGCAACAAAAGTGCAATGCATTATTGTACCCGTTGAGCTCATATAATTGTGGGATTGACATACAAAATGACTATTATGCCCCTTTTGACTTAAATGGAAAGTGATTACATAGAACAAAATATAAAGAGTAAGATAGTAATTTCATTTACTTATTACCTACCCCCTATTGTTTCATAGCTGTGTGTTCAACACTGAGGTAAAGAAAAAGGAAAGGCTGCAGCTGTGTACTCAATACACAGATGTGATATATATATAAAAAGTAATAATATTAAAATCAAATAATATTTAACAAATAAAAAGTAAATAAAAAAAATTCCAACATGAACCTTTTGAACCTCACCCTTTCTATTAAATCTGAATCTCATTCCGTTTACCACACCAACTTCACCATCTCAGAAACACCTTCTCCAGTTACATCAGAAAACAAAAATTAGAGAAATAGAGCATATCCACCATCTCATTAGGTCCTCCTTCTCCACTTCCATAATTTACAGGTTAGTTTTGATGCTAGTTCATCTTCATATTAGCTTCAGATATTAGCTTCAGAGGGAGTGAGGGAGGGAAGAGGAGGATAACCAGCTGGTCATCCCACGGGACATTCGGTCGGTCATCCCGGCCTAGTCACCATTCCACCTCCGTATCTGTTCGCTTTGTTTCATATCTGTTCTATTTTCATCTGTTATATTTTTTTGATTTCTGTTCTAATTTTGTCACACTATCATTTATTTTTCTGATTATCAGTTTCTAAGTTATAATAAACTGAATGAAACAAACCCAATATAAATGAGAAATATCATTCCCTATGGTTTTTTTTTATATATATAAAAATCTGTTTCTATGGCATCTGCCTAATTAAATTTTGTCACCAAATTTTTTTATATTTATTTTTTACATAAAAATAAGTTTGTATGCACAAAAATGTACTAATAGTTGATATATTTTTCATACATTTTTCTTACCTCTCATATGTTTTAATATACA